CTTTTCACAGCTATTTGTAAGGCCTCCTCAGACAACCATTTTGCCTTTTTGAATTTCTTTTCCATGGGAATGGTCTTGATCCCTGTCTCCTGTTCAATGTCATGAACCTCCATCCATAGTTCATCAGGCACTCTGTCTGTCAGATTTAGTCCCTTAAATCTATTTCTCACTTCCACTGTATAGTCATAAGGGATTTGATTTAGGTCATACCTGAATGGGCTAGTGGTTTTCTCCACTTTGTGGAGATTTTCTCCACATTTACTGACAAAAATAGTATTTACTAAAAATAAACACAATACAAAGTCTTTGATGGCCACCTGCTAATGCATAAACTTAATTTTTCAGTGTAACGTTTTCACAAGGCCAAAATGAAAAAATACGATTTTCTCTTGAAGTATTCTCACTGGGATGAGAAAGCAACAGAATGAGAGCCAAAACCAAGGAGCATCTAAGAAAAATTTGGTTAACTTCTTTCAGGCTTCTACATTACATAAAGTATATCCGTCACTTTTCCCCTTAATCTGTCTTCTAAATATTGCTGAGTTTTTAACACTTTCCTTAAATCTTTCCAAATATCCAATTTTTGGTAGTTACCAACTTTATGATTTAATATTCCCCCCTCTCCTCCTAACTTACCTCTGACTGCTAAAGGCATTAGACATGAAAGCATCATAAAATGGCAGAACCTATTTCCAAACACACCTCATTCTAACTTCTAGGTTAACTGCCAGTTTATTTCTGAGTCCTACACAACTTTACCTATACAAAGAAGCCAGCAGCCTCCATGTGACCATCTCCTGTTGAAGAAGCCAGAGCATGCTGGCTGTTTTTGAAAACTTCTGAAGTCCAGGTGTTGCTCGGCTCACTATTTTATTCAGTATATTTACCTGAATGAAAGACACAAATGTAAAGAGGTTCTCTGTAACTCTGAGTCACAACTTTGTATTTTTCAAGTACATAGTGCCAAAGTACATATTTACATTACAAATCTTTCCTGTCTACTGCCTTTTTAAATTAAATGTAACATAACATTCCTAATAGAAAGGGCCTTAATTTGAAGTAAGGTGTGTCTAGGTGAGTGTGTATGTAAGTTTAACATACTTGAGATTTCAGATTCAACAGTAACAGCCATGAGTACATTTTTCTCCCTGTAGATCAACTAGAAGATAGCTAAATCTAACCTATGCCTGGTAAAATCATATATCATGAACCAATACAGCAGAATGAACATTAAAAATAAGATACTTTCAAATAATCTGAAAAAGTTATACTATATAAAAAAAATTAAGAAATATTCTCCAACTGGTACCAGTCTTTTCCTAAGACTGGTACAAAAACATTGCCTCATTTTTTTTTTTTTTGTCAAAACTTAACCAAAATCCCTCCTTGCTGTAAAACAGCAGTTCTTTACCACTTGAAGACTTTCTATGAAAGTCTAATGAAACATACACATATTCTCCACAAACACACACCAAATCACTTAACAGATTTAAGAACCCAGGGTAAAGGAAACTTTTCTCAAAGGTTGTGAATATCACCTTTTATCAAGGGAAATTAAGAAACAGGATTGGTCTCATTCAGAAAATGAAGAAAAACCACCGAAACAACAGGTTTCCCTACCTCTAAAAATAGATTCACAAAGTAATGTTGCTTCTGTATTAAGGTCAGTGTTTAAAAAAGGTACTACCTGTACTTCTCAGTCCTCTAATAAATTCTCTATTGGAACCCGAACTCCAGTGATTCACTAGGTGATTATTATTGCTTTTGTTATGTAATGAAGCTATTGATTTTATAATGGAACAATTCAGAAACTCATTATTGAAATAACATTCAGTTTAGTTCAGTAACTCAGTCTCCTCTGACTCTTTGCGACTCCATGGACTGCAACACGCCAGGCCTTTACTCAAACTCAGGTCCATTGAGTTGGTGATGCCATCCAACCATCTCATCCTGTCATCTCCTTCTCCTCCTGCCTTCAATCTTTCCCAGCATCAGGGTCTTTTCAAATGAGTCAGCACTAGAGTTTCAGCTTCAACATCTATCCTTCCAATGAATACCCAGGACTGATCACCAGGATGGTTTGGTTGGATGTTCTTGCAGTCCATGGGACTTCTCAAGAGTCTTCAACACCACCGTTCAAAAGCATCAATTCTTCAGTGCTCAGCTTTCTTTATAATCCAACTCTCACTTCCATACATGACCACTGGAAAAACCATAGCCTTGACTAGATGGACCTTTGTTGACAAAGTAATATCTCTGCTTTGTAATATGCTTTGGTTGGTCATAACTTTCCTTCCAAGGAGTAAGCGTCTTTTAATTTCATGGCTGCAATCACCATCTGCAGTGATTGTGGAGCCCCCCAAAAATAAAGTCTGACACTGTTTCCACTGTTTCCCCATCTATTTCCCATGAAGTGATGGGACCAGATGCCATGATCTTAGTTTTCTGAATGTTGAGCTTTAAGGCAACTTTTTCACTCTCCTCCTTCACTTTCATCCAGAGGCTTTTTAGTTCCTCTTCACTTTCTGCCATAAGGGTGCTGTCGTCTGCATATCTGAGGTTATTGATATTTCTCCTGGCAATCTTGATTCCAGTTTGTGGTTCTTCCAGCACAGCATTTCTCATGATATACTCTGTATATAAGTTAAATAACCAGGGTGACTATATGCAGCCTTGACATACTATTTTTCCTATTTGGAACCAGTCTGTTGTTCCATGTCCAGTTCTAACTGTTGCTTCCTGACCTGCATATAG